CGTTTGATGAACATAAAAATTGGTACAGAGCTGCCTTGTGGCTTAAATAAATTTGGTGAATACTTTTTCTTCTTGGAGGTATGTAGACCTGGAGTCTATTCGAAAAATATTCCATTCATTTTGGTACAGAGGGAGCTTCTTGTCTAAATTAACGTCGGGGAGTGGTAGCCGAGTAGTTAGCATGGCGGACTGACATTCGGAAGGCTCGTGTTCATATCCCGGTGCCACCAACATCCAAAAGTTATGGAATATTAATTTAAATAAAAAATTAAATTAAATTTTATAATTGCGGTCGCCACTCGGTAGGGAATGTCCAACCCTCTGAGAGTATTTCGGACATGAAATAAAATGCCCTCGTAAAAAAAACCAACAGAATTGTTTCCTGGAGGTGCCTTGACTAAGAGCATAAAAAGAACGATTTAGATTGCGACATTCTCCTGAAAATGTTTAAGCTTTGGTGCTGTTTGTGACACGTTTCGTAGTTGCCATAAAAGATTTGCTTCTTATTCAACATACTTAACTACTTTACACTTTTTTCCTTTTTCTTTTTGTGAATTTTTAGGGCTCCCACCACAACGCAGCACAAACGAGATAATGTCCTTTGTGTATACGATTATATATATGTATAAATCATACATATATTTGCCGCTCCTTTCGGGCTGCCAGAGCATATTTTTATTATTTACGAATTTTATAGTTTACCTTAGTGGTACTGCTTTGCACATAAAATAAGCGACGGAAAACCCGGTACGTTCATGTAGACTCCTTGGCTGATGTTAAATGTATGGGTGTGGTGTGTGCATGTTTCAATGCGGATATTGCAAATATATTTCATACCAAAACCTGAACACAAGGGCACATGTTAATGTTTGTATACCGTTAGTGGCGCCCTAAAGCCTAAAGTATCTTTTCTTTTGGTACTTGCTTGGCCATACTTCTGCTCTTTTTTCTTTTTTTTTTTTGTTGGAACTAAAGACTTTCCAAGCTTAGCTTGGCGTAAGCGAAATACAATATAATGCGATAATGTCGAGGAGTACTCTAGCAGCACCTAATAACGACGAAGCATATCCTGCGGTTGCTGGCATGGCACAGAGTTATCTTTGCATGGTATGGCAATGACAGACGCTCTGGTTGACTGCGTGGATAAGTGGTAGACAAGGTGCTCTGCTTTCAGTCATATTTGTAAACTCATATGCGGTATTTATTTACTTAAAGAAACTTCGTTCGCATTTTGTAGTCTCACTATCTATATATGTATATATTTTTTGTGTTGAGAAGCTCATAAATTTACTGCGCTTTCTTCTTTCTCTGAAAGTATTTTTTTTAATTTACTTTTTCGTAAAAACAACTAAACAGCAAGTTATGCCAAAGGTATGTGGACGGAGATTTTTTTACATACCTTTGTTTGTGGAGTCGATTGATTTTTTTTTTTTTTTTTTTTTGGCGAAAAGATGGTTAAGTAATAATGGAAGCTGCATCATTGCTTTTCTCTCCGTTGCCAAAGGCTACCAAAAACGTAATGATGCATTTTCTCATGTAAATTTAACATTAAAGCATGAGTAAATGTTTGGAAATAAGTGTGTGAATTGTTTTAGAAGAAATATATTCATAATGGAAAATATCACATTATGGAGCAATTTTAGTATTTTAAGATATTATTAAAAAAGTAAGAAAACTAAGTTTTAATTGAATATAAGTAAACATTGTAGTGAATCACCTGACGATAGGTATTTATTTTTTGTTTATTTATATATTTTCATAAATATATTCGTCTGTACAGACATAATTGGCGCTTTAAACCGCTAAAGTGATTCTTAGTTGAGCTCCTCCTATTTGTGGTATGCGTCGTGATGTTGATGGAGGTACTTACCGTTTATACCAAGTCGCCTCCGAGTGGCAAATGAACTGAGTAGTGTTTGAGCTCATGTGAGAGACGGACTCCAGCAAAGAGAAGACTACGCTATATTCTCCAATTATTCTTCGATAAAGGCGAATACGCCAGTCAGACAGCGTGAATAGCGTTTATGTCTCTGTATGCTGTAACTGTAACAGGTAGTCATGCTCAACTTTGGTTTCGTTGATTTCGTTTCGGTAATTTTGACTAAAAGATGCTCTAGTTTGTAGGGCAAGTGGTCGAAAATGTCGATAAAACAATAGAAATTGTCGAGTCTGACCGTCATTATCCAGGAGACAAACATAAAAGCTTCATCTTCATGGATTGGTGGGATTGGCAAGGAATCATCCGCAATGAGCTGCTTCCCTACGTCAAACTTCATTCGGACCTGTATTGTGAGTTATTAGATTATTTGTGAATCGCCCAGAAGATCCCAGTTTTGGCCTATGTGCGAGAATTGTGTTTCATCAGTAGAACGCCAGACCACTCACATCGATAGTGCCTCTACAAAAGCTCCAAGAACTTGGTTTGGACATTCTTAGGCATTCATCTTATAGTCAGCGGCTTGTGCCAAATGGTAACTATCTATTTCTGTTTATGACTTAGGTCAATAGACTCGCTGTGAGGGTCCTATCTTCACCATCTCAATTGAACATACCATTTCGTGTATATTATAATGGCAACGAGATCTCCAATTTTAGATCAGCGGGACTGTCGAAGAAGTGTTGCCCGAGGAATTTGTGCCGCGCAAATGTCAAAAATAACCAATAGCAAAGGGAGTGCGCGTGCAATTTCAACCATAGTTGTCTGGTCTCATTCAACCATCTTGAGTGAGCTGCTTTGGCAAAGGCCAGTTTAAGTGTATTCTTTGCCGTGGACAAAGATAAACCTGTAACGTGTGCATGTTTAATTGTGGATAGAACGGTTCCTTCCCTCGCTAGTTCGTTCGCCATGCAATTATCTGTGCCCGGGTACCCATACCACGGCTGTGCTGCATTGAGTCGAGAGTCTGTTCAGACTGCCTCTACCTTTAATTGTGCTACTGTTACATTGCAGGGATCTGATGGCAAAAGTTTTGCTCAAAATGCTCGACTTGTTCGAACTCGTGCTTGAAAATTTTCGAGCAATGAGCAATAAACGAGTGTGCGAGTACTTGATGTTCCGTACATTGTAATTGATTGGTGTGCTGCTGTAGATTTGAGCTTCTATGATTGCAAAGAGTTCTGCTTGGAAGACGCTGCAGTGGTCAGGTAGTCTCATGCTCATTTATTGAGAGCAACGGAGAGTGGATTCCACAGGCACTTTTTTAATTGAGTTGGAAGCCGTCTGTAAAGATGGTTTTAGCTCCCTAATCGAGGCCGTGGTGTTTTCCAAAACAAAAAAATTTTAATTTAATAAAAAAAAAAATATATATATATATATATATAATTTATTATCTATTTGTTTGAACTGAAATATTCCATCAAGATTAGCTTTGTTTCTTCTTTTTTAAATCGGTTAAAAAGTTGTATACAGCCTCAAAATTTTTAATTCCCAATTAATATATAATATAAAAATTTACAAAAAATTCGTGCTGTTTTTATGTAGTAAATTATTTATTAGAGACACTTCACTAAATCAAATTTATTCAAAAATGAAAATTAAAATTGTGCAACTTTTTCATTAAAGTAAAACCTACCACCACCTACTACATCACAAATTCAGCAGATAGAAAACACTGAAATTTCAATTACATTAATTGAAGTGCGCCCATTTGCCTATGACTATAGTACCCACGGCACTTACAAATGCAAACAGTAGTCATATTTATACAAACTCTTATGCTGCCTGTTTTGCCGTTTGCCCTATAAGCATATGCATGTTAGTGTATATGCAACCACATATTTATGTATGTATGCATTCCCGTTTTTATCAGAATCAACCTCTGTGGCGTTTAACTAACCTAAGCGGCTTTTGCGTGGCAGTGAAGTGTCACTCCAATGGCGCCATTTCAATTTGGTTCGCTCATTTCACGTCTACATTTTACAACAAAAAAAATCATTTTTTGGTAAATTTGTTGGTTTGCCCTTTGTTTGCATCTAACTGATGTGGTTGCTGCAAGTCTGTGTGGGTTTGTCTAATTTTAAAAATAATTATTTGCGAAAAGATATTAAAAATTGATAAAGAAATAAGATTTGATATTTTCTTTTAGATGTTAAATTAAAATTATTAAATATGAAAAATAAAATAAATTATAAATTAGCTTATTTTTGTACTTAATTTATATTAATTATGTTTTATTTGTATTATAAACAATAATTTTTGTTTAATTTAATATTGTTTTATGAATAATAACAATAAAACTTTATATAATAATAATAGTATTTTATATAAATTATATAATAAATGTCTAATAATATAATATAATAATTTATATAAAATAAATAATAATAATAATAAAGTTTTCTTATTTCATAAAATTTATTACATTTTAATTTTTTTCACTATTTACTTAAATTTTTGTAAGATTTATTAAAATTTTAATTTTTATTTTTATATTAATTTTATTTATTTTTAATTTATTTCAATTAATCTACTATATATATAAACTTAACTAGTCATTACAACCGTGAATCGTTTTCGTTGAAGAAATTTTTCAGACATTTTGTTTTGGCTCGCTTAAGGACAACAACAGTCTCATCATGTCATAAAACCTCAGGAATTTCTCTTCCAACACAAACGTCTTCGTTTCTCGCATCCTGTTGTCATTTTTGCTTGAGTCTCGTTTTGAACCTGGATGCGTGCGCTTGGCAGTCAGTTGCACTAACCATTGCGCCATGTAGACCCCAAAGACAGTACGCGCTGATCGAGTATATGAAGCCGTAAAATAACAAATGTACACATATATATGTATGTATATATGTAACTGCTTGTGTGTATTGGTCTGTCTGAAATACATATTAAGGGTATAACTTGTTCAAAAACAATTGAATACTTTAATATTTCTGTTGAAAAAATAGTTCCTGCGGGCTTATGTATGCCCAAATACACTTTGAAATATTACAAAATATATTACAACTTCAGTTTTAGCAAAAATAATCTTTTTTTTTTAATTTATTAATACACATTTTTGTACTTCGTTCAACAAAGTTTATTCTCAGACTTGTTTCACATTTTCTTTTTGTTTTTCATGAAATAATCACTCCCTTTTCCATTTTTCAATACGTTCATCAATGGTCGATTCCACTGCTTTACCGCTAGCTTTGGCCATTTTCCAAAAATATATCGACACATCGGCTAGAAATTTCTTGGTTGTCTCCTCCAAACCAGCATCGTTGAGAATTTCCAAATAACGTGAATTCGAAACGCCAGTATCCTTTTCAACATTGAGCAAAAAGGCGCTTTCGCTAAACTGAAAAAAATTGGTAGTATTATTAATTAGTTAAACAAAAAATAAATATTAATTACTACTGTTTAAATCAGAGATGCTCAACAAACGCGACGATATCATTTTGTTCGCTCACAAGAACAATTAACTCAACGAAATAGAATCGTGTCGTTTCGGCGCCATGTTATCGTTACGAAATGAATTCGTTAATGTTTAAAATCATTGCTTGCTTAAATGTTAACGGCACACTTCAATGTTAACGTTTAACATTATTTGTTAACGATTTAACATTATCGACAGCTTTTCGTTTCCGGTGAAAACGAAATGAAATTTATTTTTTTTTTTTGACGTTAATATATCCAAATATTTCATCCGAAACGATACTTTTTAGAATAACATGAAATTGATCGTTACAATGCAACCTTTGTACAAATCTAAAATTATTGTCTGCTAGAACTGAATTCTAGGATAGTTGTTAATTGCTTTGATCTGCAACTTTAAGTTCGACTTCAGTTTCATTCAAAGTAAAATCTGAATTTTGTACTGTAGCAAAGTTATTTGAACTTATTATTACTTAAAAAAATTACTTTGAAGCTATTTGATTTTACTTTCACCAACAATATATAAATTTTCAAATCCTCACCTTAAGTTTTACAAAGCTACAAAATTACAGCATCATTATCTCAGTTTTAAACTTATACTATTAATTCTAACTTACAAATTTCTCTTGAGGGGAAACTTTACGCCTGCAAACGTTATTGATGCCCTCACTCTAGATTTTTTCCACGACTAAACCTAAATTTGAAATCCCACTCACCTCAATGAATGTATCACGCCACATTTTATCTTTCTCCTGTACAGAATCCGCTAATATAGCTTTCTCCAAACGCTCAATATACTTATCAATATCGCTCACCCTCTTTCCTGTGGCCGGCAGCAGTACCTTAACCTTGCTGAAATAGTCGATTTGCGAACGAAATAAAGTGTTCAGGAATAGTTTTGTTTCATTCAACGCTTCACGCTCGAATTCGGCACGTGTAGCACTGCTAATAAAACTATTTTCCACCGAATTTTCATCAGGTCGTTCCGTTTGGAAGGTTTGATCAGTTTCAGCGCTGCGTGCTTCGCGTATTGTGTACCCCTGTGTAATGTGCTATGGTCGAGGGAAAATTTATATTATTCTAGTCTTTTTTTTTAATAAGTATTTAGATAGTTTTTACCTCTGCGCCGAGCAAAAACAATAAAACAATTAATAATATATTCTGCGTCATACTTTCATAAATTATTTTCTCAAAATTCCGTATAAAGCTTGCGACACCTTATGCTATGCAACTATTACTGAAGATTAATTTTTATGTAATTAAATATTTCTGTACAAAAATGATTTGAATTGTGAAGTTTATTGATTATGTTGACCATCTTATCAGCTAATATTGTACATAGCTGATGACCGACTATCACTAGTGAGTGCAATCATTGCGATTCATTCTTTGCTGATAACGGTGATGTTTTTATTTCGAAATGTTTATATTGAAATTGTGAAAATAATCAGCAAGAAATTGTATTTTAATACCATAATATTAACCATAAATGTAGTTATGCGTTGGAAGTCTTAAAACGTTATAAATTTTGAAACTGTATTGAAGTATTTAAAAATATTTTTGGTTAAAAAATATAAAATTATTTTGAAAATTTATTTCAGTTGTAGTTTAGAACTACAAAATTTGTCAAAAGCAATTACAAATTTTGGAAAGAAAGTAAAGATTCGGATAGAATTCTTATCATAAGGCTTTGTTTTGAATGGCTGTTGAAGCAAACTACATTCGAAACCATTTGTCTGAAGCTTACCAGGTTGTGTTCTATACTTTTGCGATAAGAAATAATTTCCAGGAATCTATTAGAAAGAGATTATCTTTTGATCGTTCAATTTTCATGAAATTTGGTGCAGCTGTAGCCGGAAACACTTTTTCATCCAGTAGCAGACCTGGAATCCATTAAATGGTCCGGTTCTGCTTAATAAATGAAACATTGATGGCTCTTTTAGCCAATGTATGGGGAAGTATGTTTTATTTTTGGACCGATCTTTCCGAAAAAATCATATCTATGGTTTGGTTAGCTTAAAATTTAAGACATTGAAAGCACTTCGCCTAGGCTAATATATGTAGGACCTTTATATATTTTTTATTCGCTTTAATAATAGATATAGGTTAGTTATAATAAAATACAAACCGGGCATAAATCTTATTAGATCCATTTTTAAATTCCATGTTCACGAAGTAGCGAACAAACCCTAGTCTGCGAATTTCCGATTTGTGTTAGGCGTTTTGATGCTCTTCCCAAAAAAAAAAAAAAAAAAAAAAAAAAAAAAATGGCGGAAACTACGGCTTGTTCTAAGCTTGTCGCGAAAAAATGACTTTTCTGAGGAATTTATGTGGCGCAAGTGTCAACGTGGGATAGTGACAGGAGTAATGTTCAATAGACGCTTCTCCTTATTCGTCCCTACAGTTGCGGCAAAAATCATTAGAGGAGCCCATTAAACATTGGAGAAATGGAGAAAGATGTAAGATGAATCTAGAAAGATGAAATGTTTTGATTTTTACCCGACCACAGCAGTGTTGCATTCAGTTGAGAGTTTTTTTCCGAATGTACGCTTGTACTCTTGGTACAAACGATTATAAGTTATAATTTTTTAGGAAAGGCTTTGATAATACTGTTGAAAACTAGTTCAGAACGACTCTAGAGATATTGTTATCTTCTGAGTTAATTCAAACTCAAAATCAACTAATTTCCGTCTAAAGTTCCTGCTGGGTATGAATTTATTAAAAAAGAATTAAAAAAAAAAAAATAAAAATATAATACAGAAATGTATACAAAACAATCTTTAAAAAAATAATTGATATATATACATATGAAATAAATAAAGACACTTATACCAAAACGAGACATTAAAAATTTTTATTCTTTTTCCTTTTTTTTTTGAATAAGATGTCGAGCTGAATGAAATATCCAGCATATTTGAGTCAAGCTTAATCACTTTCTACGACTTAAAATAAGCCATAAAATGTTTTGAACTTATATATATAGCTCAATTTTGCCTCGTTTACTTATCACCCTAGCCACCTTTCTTTCACACTCAACGAAAGCTGTTTCTACTTTCTTCCACACGTCACTATAATAATATTTTTTTTTATTCCAACGATTAGCCAATCATAGAAAATGGGAGTAACTGTCTGTCATTGAACCCTTTTCATAGAAAAACAGCTGTGAAATATATTTTAATACATATAGTTTTTCTCTCCGCTGATACTTTTGCGATAACGGTGTTTTATATGTATATTCCCTTTCGCGCTCTTCCACGTTTAATATTTACTTTACGCTATACACACTCCACCAGCAGACAATAGTAATTACAACATACATACTAATGTATGGTTGTATATCGCAAGTGCTCCGTGACTGCCCCCTATCGTGCCACGTTGTTTGTACATATATTCGAGTACGTCGCTCTCATTCTCATTCTCGTCATCGCCTGCTCCATCACTTATCAGCGTTAGTGCACCGTAAACACCCTTTCATTGAAAATGTATGCGAGAATTTGCACACATGTTCGACATTTCCAATAGTAAACGAATTGAAAACTCGAAATAAAATGAATAAAAGCTCGACAAGCTTTGCAAGTATTTTTCTGGGGTTTGTTGCAAAAATATGTATTAAGAAAAAAAAAAAAAAAAGAATTAAATGAAAGAAAAGGGTTTGTCATGAGTTTATTTCTTCGCAACCTTTATTTTCGTTGCCTTTTATTACATTTTTTCCATTGTTATTTGCAAGTGAAAGGGTATGCAATTTCCTAAACATTTGCCAAAGTACTTCACCCACACTCGGCGTTGATAATTTCCGACACGTGTTCTTTGGTTGCTTCCATTACAAGTATTAGCATACAAATAAAGTGTGGGATGAAGCTTATAAAATTGTTCTAAAATTTGTAAAATCGCAGCAACAATTGCCTCATGTGGGGCGCAGTGTTAAAGTCTTCAAAGCTTAATACTGAATGAAGCTTAATGAATGAATAGATTTGTTAAAAAATAATAGTAGCTCTATAGGTCATATAGTTTTAAAAAAATATATATATAAAGGGTGATTTCTTAGCTATTATCTGTTTGGCAACACTGGTTTAAACAGCTGACGCACTTTTCGTGTTTTTTATCAATGTCGAACATCTTCAGTTTGGTCTATAATTTAACCATGAATCGTCTTAAAAAAAATTGTCTTCATCGACGAAGCGAATTTTTAGGTTAATGGGTGCGTAAATAAGCAGAATTGTCGATTTTGGAGTGAAGATCAGCCAGATGCATTGCAAGAGCTGCCAACGCATCCAGAAAAAGTCACTGTTTGGTGCGGTTTATTGGCTGGTGGCATCATTTGACCGTACTTCTTTAAAGATGATGCGAATCGTAGCGTAACTGTGGATGGTGAATGCTACAGTGAGATGATGTCAAATTATTAATTAATTATTAATAATCTTCAAACATTAAATTATATGGACCGAACTATGGATTCATGTATTTTTCTGAATTTTGTGTGGTTTTATGGTCGTCCACAGTTTATACTAAGCTGTCTGATGGTTTTTATTTATGGGGAGCCCTTATTTCATGTTAGAAATACACTCGGTGGGGTTGACATTCTCTGCCGAGGGTCGATCACAGTTAGAAAATTTAACTTAATTTGTTATTTAAATTAATTTTCTATACTTTTTGGATGTACGCAGTACGCAATGCCAAGTGGTTAGGCTACCGCGGCCGTCATGATATGGGATTGTTTTTCATATTACAGTGCTGGGCCTATTCAGAGTATAAATACCATCATGAATGCAATAGAATACATCCAAATACTCGAAGAAGAAATACTGACGTATCCTTTGGAAAATATGTTAGCAAAAAGCTAAAAAGTAGTTTCAGGACTATAATGTCCCTTTGATGGAATGGCCTGCAAGGTCCCCTGGTTTGAACCCAATCGAATATTTGTGACCTGGTGTGCCTTTGGGCCCAGTGGAGGAGACCTGGCACTTTATTTCATTACAGAAGGGTAACGCAACAAAATATTAAAACCATTATGAAGGATAACTACTCATATTACAATCGCAGTAAATGACATTAAATCAATTTTAATATTTTTGCTTTCAGGTCAAAATGACCAGTGCTATTATTTTGACTGATAATTTTTTTTTTTAATTTTTGGAAATATTGAAATTTTGATACTAATTTCAGTTCAAATGGAAATCTGTTTCTTCTTATCATTATTTAAACTTATTTTTTCACATTTTGAATAAAGTAACAAAACTTTTTTTTTAATAAATACTAATTCGTGATCTGTTTTAATTCTTTTATACTGATGGTGCTATTATTTTGAAAACAGTAAACATAAATATATTTTATTTAATGATATTTTTAGTTTAATTACTTTGTTTACAGTTCTTCTAAATTTAAAACAGAAAATTCCATTTTAGTTAGTGAAGTTGTAAGTTATTTTAACCAATCAGACATTTGACACCAAGACATTAGGATTCCTACATAGACTTTTTTTTAGCTCAAAAGTGCTACGTACCCTAATCTGCGCTACGATTTAATGACTTGAAAATAAATTCGAAATTAAATTTACAATACAAAACAAACTGTATGTATCTCCACAATGCCCAAACATTTCCCATAAACAAATTATTTATACAGCTAGCCAGCTAGCATTAAATGGCTTTCGCATACGTTGATATTTGCAAATATGTCGGGCTAAATCAATTTCATTGCAATTCAATCCGATTATGCGTTTATGTTTTATGCAAATAATTAAAACTTTAACAGCAGACTTTCAGTGCACAAATATGTATGTAAAACTCATTTTAATGAACGCGGGTTTTTAATTATACCTGAGAGGGTGGTTCTGGCGCCTGCGGTTATGCAATAAAAATGTATTTCAAGCGTAAAATTACAGCACACATAAGCCATCAAAGGTGCGTGCTACAGGTTGGCGGGTGAGATAATGTCAGACTTTAAATCAACGACAAATAGATGAGAATCTGATGGATAGACGTTATTTTGTTGTTTGTCTGACATTCACTGCGTCACAAAAGCTTAACGCATATTCATTGATGCTCACTCATCTGTTTACAGCAATGTTTTTTCGGCAACAGTTTAATGACTGAAAGTATTTATGCATTTGATGGCTTTGGCGTATGCCGAAAAAAAAAAACAATTTGTGGTTGCCTTGTGTGATTATCGTTTGATGTAAGTCGGGAAATACTCGTATGTTCTGATTTTTTAGTATAAAAGAATAATGATTATATGGAAACTACAATATGTATAAAGTAGCTTTATT